AAAACAATGAATGTAAGCTCCAGGAAAAGAGATTCCACCTCAACATTATGGTGAACTTCCTGACAGTAAGGGCGGTTCGACAGTGAAACACACTCTCTCGGAGAGTAGTGGAGTCTCCTTCCTTGGAGGTCTTTAAGCAGAGGCTGGATGGCCATCTGATGCTTTGATTGGGAGTTCCTGCATGGAAGGGGGGTTGGACTGGATGGCCCTTGTGGTCTCTTCCAACTCTATGATTCTATGACCTTATTGCAAATAATCCAGATCATGCACAGAAATAAAGATGAAGAATGAAGGACAGAATAACAAAATCCTGATTTGCAATGGGATCTTGCCAGTTCTATGATCTGATGAAGTGTTGCCTTGATTTTTTTTATCTTGTTCGTGTCCTAATTCCACTAATCTGAGTTTGACTTTAACTAACCACTTAATTATGAAAGCAAATTGCTAATCCCTAGTGCTAATGGACAAGTGGAGCTGTGTTTCCTCTTTCTGTTGCTGATACTGAAGTTTACGACTTCTGATCTCTTTGTGGCAAAGAAGCTAGAAAGAAAATTGGTCTGTGTGGGATTTTGGGAGATACAGATATGGTGAAAGGGACACACATTTTCAGTGCTTTAGAACATTATTCCAAACACTTGGCACTTTCTTTTCACAAGGGACAACCCCATATCCTATTTTGTTGCCAAAGACCGTAGAGTTCCAGTCTTTCATGTTTCACTGAACTAAATGCATTCATAAATGCCAGACAAGAGCCTGATTTAAGGGCTTCCAGCACTAAAGATCTGTGTATTTATGGCAACTGTCCTTTCCCATGCTGATTCAGGCCTCCAAAAGCATTGAAGGCATAGATGAAATACTATTTATGTGCGGGCTGTTTTGTGCAGAATGTGACTCATGTATAGCTGTACTGCAAGTCAACGGCAAAACAACGCCTGGCTAGATTTTCAGATCAGCAGGTCACAGTACTGATGAACTTTGGGAAATTGTTTGTATAGTGCTTAGACGATACCTTTTCTCCAGTGCTCAGACATCCACTTTACCTATTTGATTAATGATACCAAGAGTTACATTTTGGGTGCTTGGTATTATCCAAAGGATTGTCCTGTTTTTATAATAGTTAAGTCCTTTAAAATACTGACATAGGTTAATTACTTTCTAGTTACCATGCAATAAGTTGATTACTTTCAGTTCATCATGCTATGTATTAAACCACACATCTGCAGTCTCCCTCTCTTCTTCCAGCTGCAAAGCAAAGAACAAAGACCAGGCCTAAAGGCCTTTCAGATCAGCTAGAAAGCAGCCATGCTCAATTTTAAAGCAAAGTTCTCTCTTACACACAGACATACACTTAAAGGGAGCTCCCCCATCTCTTTGTCCCTGAATCTGCTCATGGTAGCATCTTCCAGTTGTTCCAATGTACAGCCATACCTCAGTTAACAAAACCTCTGACAGTGAAACTCCCTTTTACAATGGCTTTTTACACCCTCTCAGCACATCTTGCACCCATTTTTCTTCTCATAATTTGTCTAGCTACATCAGCAGTATTGGGAGGATGTTGAAGGAGGATTGGAGAAACACAGACTTTTTGTGTCAAGCTTCAACAGTGTGCTGTAGCAAAGAATGTAATAAATAAAACATGAGCTAGAAAAGAGGATTCTGCTCTAGCAGATTCTACTGTAGCCATGTGTGCCTACCTATAACAGCCACATCTACCCTGTTAGAGCTAAATAAATAAATGATAAAACAAAACAAAACCCTTAGTTCTGTAAATCTGGCCACCAAAATGAAATCACAAAACAAAAGTTGTGATTACCAATCACGCTTCTTCTAAAGCATGTTGACTGTTGTTGTTGTTTTTGACAAAAGTGGACAATATATGGGTTGTTTCCACAGATAAGGGTTGAACAGGTTTCTGATGTGTGTATGTTTGTACCATGTGCCTTCAAAGTCATTTCCAACTTAGGGTGACTCTCAGGCAAACCTATCATGGGGTTTTCTTGACAAGCTTTGTTCAGAGGAACTTTGCCATTGCCCTCCCCTGAGGCTGAGAATGTGTGACCTGCCCAAGGTTACCTAGTAGGTTTCATCCCTGAGCAGGGCATCGAACCCACGGTCTCCAGAGTTGTAGTCCAACACCCAGACCACTATGCCACACTGGCTCCTGTTGGGTAGAGCAGTGATACTCAAAGTGGTGGATTGTGATCTGGTGCTGGCCTCTAAGCAAACAGCTGCTGGTCCCTGGCAAGTTTCTGGAAAAGAAAGAAACACCTGTAGCCAATGAGCACAAACACATAATATTCTCTGTCACATTGTGGGAGATTGCTGATCCCTCACATCAGATAGCTTAAGAAGCATTGGTCCAGAGTGTGGATGTCATCCCTGACCAACATATCATCCCATCCCCTGGTTTCTCTGTTCCTTTTCAGTTTATCTACAATCCTCACAGTAGCAGAGCAGAAGGGGCTGGATTGTTTCCAGCAACATTATAATGTTGTGAATTATCTTTATTGTAATGAAAGGTATTTTGGAGTAGCTTGTTCTTGAATGGGCAATGAAGACCCATTGCTAAGATGACCTATTTCTAGTATGGATAAAAATTTCTACAACTGGTTTATTGATATGAATCAACAGGGCTGTTTGCATTTTTGGACTCTTTCCTGTGAGAGTTGATGGTGGTATGGGAACCATCAGATGAGTGGCTGCATGTCAAAACGTACGGCTAGAACACTGGTTCAATGACCAATGTCACCTTGTCAATTTTTAGATTGTCTCCTTGGGTACTTTAGTGAAAACTAGAGTCTTTTAGCACCCTTGCAAGTCACCAGGGAATCTAGAAAAAGGAATCTACAACCATTCCCAGCAATAGAATGGGATCAGATTTCCAGTCCTAGAATTTCTGTTCTGCAGGATGGCATAAGTAAACAACAAAAGTTCCAAATGCTCTCTCTTCAAAGTTTTCTAAGGGCCTTTGCAGAGTGCCAGAAATAGTGCAAATTGAGTCCACTTTAAGGGTTAGGGTTAGTGCTAGGGAATCATGGGAATTGCTTTTTTTCTGAGACATTGAGCCTTCTCTGTCAGAGAGCTCTGGTGCCATAATAAACTGCAGTTCCCATGATTCCATAACCCTAAGCCTAACCCTTAAAGTGGACTCAATTTGCACTATTTCTAGCAGTCTGCAAAGGCCCCAATACTACTTCCTTTTGATTCAATAACTCACAGTCAGTCTAAACACCCCACTGCTACATAGAAATAAGTTGGCATAAACATCAGTAAGCAAGGTTTTGAAAACATAGTTTCAATTTCCTTTCATACTCAGACTTGCAGCAACCCACTTCATGGTTCCACATGCCCTATGTCAGGAGTGGGAATCATGAGGACCTACAAATATGGTTGAACTGCAACTTCCAGCAGCCTCTAGCCAGCAAAGCTAATGCTGAAGAATCTAGCAACATCTGGAGGGCTGCACTCCTCTGTACAATATCTATTCCTTCTGCAAATTCTTTGACTCTGACTCTTGGGGAAGCTTCAGGCTGCTATGGCTTTGGACCTAGCTCATCTCAAAACAGAGCTCAGGCTGATTTGCAGAACTTTCTGCTAGTCATTCACTTTATCTCTACTTTTGCCTCAGCTCAAGCACCAGGTAAGAGACACCATCAGTCTACGTCTCAGAAGACTGAGAAAAACTCAGGCCATCAGTGTTCCCAGTTGTAGTAGATGACTACAGAAAGATTGTAGTCAGAAGATGTGCTAGAGACCTTATTTTCCTCCTGTACATTAGTATTATAGCACAGAAGCCTCTTGAACCAAGGTAAAAGGCTGTCTTTAAATTCCACTTAGATGTTAAGTATTAATGAATTGAGCAGCATTGGTTAAATATTCCTAATATCATTGCAATGGAGGACGATGGGAACAGAAGCTCCTACTGGCTCTAGTTTCACCTCTCATTGGTTGTGGCGCCATCTCCTTCTGACCCCCTGCCTTTTTGGTTCCACTTTTGGTATCTTGCTCTTTTATACTACTCTCATAATTCAGCACACTAAGTTTAATCTGACAAATGTTGGTTCATATTGAATTTTAAAAGTAAACCTTTGATCCTAGAGGATCAATGCAAGGTTCTGAGAGAGGAATGCTGCTGATGACAGAATCAAAAATGGGAGGCAAATACAGAGCTTTGTTTTAAGAATTCTAGGGTCTGGCATGATTCACAACACTTCCATTTTCTGCAGAATGACATTTCCAGAGAGCTCAACTATGCAAAATATGTGTCCAGAAACAGTCTGTATCCATTTTATTTTGTTCAATGATGACATTCTAGCATAAAATACAATCCTTGAAACGTGATCTCTCTCTCTCTCTCTCTATCTCGATATGAGGCATCTGATACTGGCACGGGGAAATTTTGGACATTACTGCACCAGGGTGCTCTAGCATTGTTTAACATGATTACAACAGTAACAATAATGCTATGGAAACAAGTATTCTGCACTAACTTTTAACAGTACAATAGTCCTTGCTTTGAGATGAATTTTTCTGTTATTGGTTTGCTGCACAACATACATTACCCTAGCCTCCACCCCTTTTCCCCCTGCTTTATACTTACATTTTTTTTAAAAAAAATTCTTCCGAAATCTCACAATGACAAACTCAAATAGGTAATCGCAAGATTCTTTGGGCAACTCATTTCCAATGATTCAGGATTCTAGAGTTCCATGTTGCTGTAACTCATCTTGAATGCCATTGTCGGAGACAGGTGGCATATAAATATTTGAAATAAATAAATAAATAAATAAATAAATAAATAAATAAATAAATATTTTAAGTTTTAAAATCAGTGCTTCTATAGATAGCAATTCAGCATCAATAGATCCTGTGAAAATCTTCTTCACTAAAACAGAAGCTTCATGGTGTAACAGAAGCAGGGAAATGGGTTCATGACACACCTACTCTCACAATGTCGATTTCACAATCTCTCTACTGTAGAGCTAAAGTAACTTGTATTTGCACAATCATGTGAATGTAGCGATATTGGCCGTTATTTACAGCTTTCTCTCATTAATGCAAAATTGTGCGATAATAACAATAGGGCAGCTGGTCAACAATGGATGCCCCTAAAAAGGGGAGGAATTACATGTTGTAATTCCACTCCAATTCCATCACTAGTGCCTTGTGCGGTAATGTCTTTTGTCATGGCTTCCACCAGTTCTACTGCTGCTGTAAGGTTTTTCCATGTCTCCATTCACAAAACAATAAAAATGACAAAGGAAAACATGTCTTACACTGATGCAAATTTGAATGGTTGTACCTCACCAGTAATGGAACAATGGTGATAGGGGCAGCAGAGTAAACTGCATCTCCAAATGCTGCCTGTATAGAACTTTGAAGTGATTTCTTTACAAGCAGACAAACAAACCTCCCTCTCCTGGCCTCTGATTATGGTGCTGTTTTGAGAAAAGAAAAGGGGAAAAATCTTTCTATGATGGAAGCCTCCTTTGGGCTTATAAAGAAGCTTGATTTGCTAGGCTGGAATTTTGCCACATTGATGGTTCTCTGAAGAGTTTATTGTTTCCTTCAGGCTTGATGTAAGGTCCAATCTGGAAAAGTGAGGCAGAAGGACATACCCAGTGGCTTGATGCAGCATAAATATAAAACTGCTCCTGGGATGCTTCTCTGAGCTATGGTCTAACTTCTCATAGGCACAAATACAAGTTGGGCTTTTTGTTGCATGCTCACTGTCTCAAGAAGTGATATGTCAGGAGATAATGGCTGTGGGTTTTAATGAAATTTTCTGTCCAATTATGTATCCTCTCATCTGCTGGAAAAGCATGATTAACGACATGTTTCCAGGGCAAGCAGCCATACTTGCAAATATAAAATGTGCTTACAACAGTCCTGTTCACAGGTGATCTTGAATTTCATGCGCTCGCATTCTGCAAACTCTTTTATAGCAAAAAAGTAATTTTGTTTTTAAGCAAGTGAGAAATACTCTTGAACAAGCAAAACAAAATAAACTACTGCTCCCTCAACTATTCATAATATAAAGCAGTGATCCTTATGGGAAAAGATAAGGAAATTCCCAGTGCCATTTAGGAGAAAGTGGGCAACCTTCAATTGGGCAAACTGGGCATTCAAAGACACATCTTGGCCAGAATGAATTATGATTTCTCTTACCCACCTCGCAGGTGCACAAAATCAGCTGTCCATCCTCATTAGGCTCAGAAAAGAGAAGTTTACTGCTTCCCTGAGAAGCCAAATTGGTGCTGTCATGAATCACTGTAACTGCGTGTTCTACACACTCCAGTAATATCTTTCATTAAGGGATGATAAGAAAACAATATGTATTTTATTAGCATATGTCTGCCCTCTGCTGCCCCACAAAACAGAAGACCAGACCTAATCTTCAGTTTGTCAGAAAGAGAAATCAAGTAAAATCTGCAACTAAGCCAAGCTGTATTTGCAAACTATCTAAGGCCAAAGGCCTAGTAAGGCATCAGGAGATAAATCTGCTTTTGAGAGAGATGGAAGCTAGGGGTATTGTTTATTTATTTATTTGATTTAAATCCCAATTTTCTTTCACAATGAGACTCAAAGTGGTTTACAGTACAAGTTAACACAACTAAAACAACCTGTGATTTTGTGCAGAGGGGCACAAACTGAACAGGCAGCTGGTCCTACCATTAGCCAGAATGAGGTGGCAGTCACCAGCAGCAGATTTTAGGCTATCGTGAAAGGGCAGCACATTCTCACTTATTTACTTTGATATTGTACTTTTAATGACAGGGACAGGAAGAGGTGTCTGTGGCATTTTTCATCTCAGATGCTAAAATAACTTGTATGGCTCTGGGAACTATGTACTTTAACATAGGCAAGAAAGTATCTTGATACATTTTATCTGCCATGTGCCAGAACACCTTGGCTGGCTTTGGGCAGTTATGCATCTTGAATTGAATAAGTAGAGGCTGGGCTTTGCTACTTTACCCCAGGCAAGAAAATGGGACAATATAGGGCCTTTGCAGACTGCCAGAAATAGTGCAAATTGAGTCC